TGAACCCCGAAACTCCACAAGCAGGACACCGTGGACATGGCAGTGGGGGGACTGGGAACGTCTGACTTTCCTCGGGCTCCATCCCCCCTGAGGACCCAGAGGCTGAGTTGCAGTTCCGGCACTTCTCGTGCCCCAGTTGAACCTCGGGAGAGCAGGGTGGCAGATGAGGAGCGGGCGGCGCCCCTCGGGCCTGGGGCCTAGCCCTGCCAACTCCAAGGCCTTCCCTCTCCGACAGCCACATCTAGCTCTTTACTGGGAAGGAAAATCAAACGGGGCGAGAGGGAGAGGCAGTAGGTCAGTGAGTTCTCTCAAAGCTCTGTGTGTGAGGTGGAAAAGCAAGGTAGGGGATGGGCAGGGACCCGAGAAGAGCAGGGGGTGCGGGATGCACCCCTCACAGATATTGGGAGGCAGGGTGGGACAACGGAGTGAGAAACTGGCTTAGATAGGACATGTGGCATTTGGTCTGAGTGATAGCTACTGAAGGTACCACAAGGATGGCAGATACGTCTAACAAAAAATCCCCTTAGCATAAATCACCCAGTGTCTTCCCTTTATCCGTCAAGGCACAGATACGAACTGATCACCGACTACAGGCTGCACCGTGCCAGGCAATATAGGAGAGCCACCAGAAGACATCTTGTTCTCAAAGGCATGACAGTCTGGCCTAGGCAGGAAGAGAAGACTGTGAGCAAGAACACACACGTGTGTGCCTTGCACATAATGCTGGCTGTGAAAGCTCATTGACAACTGTGTAAATGTGTGAGGCCCCAACTGTTAAATGTTTGCTCGTAGCTACTCTTTGGTCATTCCTAACATAAAAAAAAATATACAACAAACCTGCGGGACTCCAGGAAGCTCTGCCCAATTTCCATAGAGTGTCTGTGAGTCTATTAAAAAAACGTGTGCCCGTATGCGTATGTGTGCGCACGTGCGTGCACATGAGCAGGCACCTCGGTAGCATCTGCAAGTTGCTTTGGGAGCCCTGGGAGAAAGCGCTTGGTAAGAACTGTTGCTCGCCAGAGCAGCGAAGGAACTGAGGGTCCCTTAGGCCTCATGCTGTACAGAAGGGAGAAGAAAGGTCCAAGGGATTGAATCCTGTGCGTCAGGTCACTCAGCCGTGCACCAGTTAACAAAAGTGGTCATGAGGCTTTCTCAGCCGATATAGGAGCTCCCTGGAGGTCAGAGGCAGAAGCGGAGTTGGAAGTGGAATATCAGAAAATTTGTCTTTTCTTCTGCCTGTGGCAACAGTCGGGGAGGTGGTGACGCCCGGTGTCAGCTGTGCCAACCTGGAGCATGTTGGCACATGCTGGCACAGTAGAAGACAATGAAGGGAAGTGGTTAAGGCCTGGATCCTAGAGACAAACTCCTTTGGCTAGACTCCTGGCCCTATTTACTTACTAGATGTTTCTTAGTATCTCTAGGCCTCAGTTTCCTCTGGAAAACGAGGATGATAACCTAGCTGATATGAAGAGGAGATGAATGGATATATGTGACAAATTAAGAAAGCTGCCTGGCATGCAGGTAAAGCTGACTCAAGACGAGTCGTTACGATTATTCTCTGCCTGCATGCTGGCCAGCAGGATTCCAGCCTGCCCACCTCAGCTAGACAGCACTACTAGAGCCCAGAACTCACCCCCCTGGACTTCCAGCTCATAGGCTTCCCTTTTTTCTCATTTACTTTGTAATTCCCAAACCTGACCAGCAGGCAACTCACACAGAAGCTCTGGCCACCTCCTGGTGGAAATGAGGACAGCAGGCAAGTTGCTTGATGCCAGCTTTGTCCTATGGCTGGAGTGGGAGCATAGCTGGGCTGAGAGCATTGGGCAGCAGATATGAGTGTGGAGGCTGGACATGTCCTCGGAACAGGGTGCTGTGTATTCTCCTGCCCTGAGACTGTTCATTCTTGTGGCACTGTACAAAATATATATCCCGTAGAGAGCTCCTGCCATCCAGAGCTTACCTGAGGCTGTCGACATCCACACAAAGCGTTCTCTCTTTGTGCGGCTCCTTTTCATTTCTCTCATTTGCTTTACTCTCTTAATTTCCGCCCCCGCCTCACATCCTTGCGTTTCAACAGGAACCATGGAGCCGAGCTTGTCTTTATTTTAGGAATGAGGACCCTGAGCACAGACAGATGTTTTTCTTGTAGCTGATAGGAGCCTTGCCGAGCCTGCTGCATCCAGCTCATCCCGCGAGGCCAGGTACCAAGCCTTCCTTAGCAACAGTCATTGAATCACAGCCGAGAGCCCTTCTGGGATCCCCCGAGGTGGGTCCCTCTAAAGCAGCCACACTCGAGGCTGAGCCAGCAGAGCTGGTAAGAGGAGTAGTGTGGGCCCCGTGCTGGCGCTGGCCCCGCCTGCCCCTCCACCTCCTCAAGAACCCATGACAAACAACCTTGCCTGGTGCCCAAGTGCCTGCCAAGCCCTGTCGCATCAAAATCCTGGCGGACTCAGCAAGGAGTCTAATTTCAGCCCAGCAGGTGGGGAAACCAAGGCAGCAAGAGTCCAATGTGACCAAGGTCACACACAGCACTGGCAACCAGGCCGTGGAGGCTGCATCCAGGGCTGCCTGCTGAGCACTGAGCACTCAGGCTCACCCCCAACCAAGGCTCTGGGCCCAGCACAGAGGAGAAACAGACACTTCCTGAATCCTGGCAGCAGCAGAGCCCGAGAATGGCCCAGCATTTTCCATCTGCCCTCACAGCAGTTCCTTCTCTCAAGGGAAAACGGAGGCACTGAGGCTCCCTGGGAGTGCCCTGGGGGCATCCGATCCAGGCCAGGAATCCAGCTCTAAACGATTCTAGCTCCCAGCTGAGTGCCTGGAGCAGCAGACATCAAAAATCTGGCAGGCCAAGGGAGAAGGGAAGATTAGATCACAATAGCAGAATGAAGGAAACCGGGGGAGAGGAGAAACGCAGGCCAAGAATGCATCGAGGCAACCTGAAAACTCCGGGGGAAAGCGGGCCCAGACACTGGCAGCTCCCCTCTGCCTGAGGTCCTCAGCCCGGGACAACCTGGCATCTCTTGGCCCCTTTAGGGGGGTCGGGGGAGGTGCTGGTCCATACATACGTGCATGTACTAGTTCCTAAGTGTCATGAAGGTGATAGGAACAGGACGCCTGTGTCGGTGCTCCGTGCACACGCACACAAACACACATGTGCAGGTATCGGGCTAGGCGTGCGAGCCACAAGAGCGTATGCGTGTTTGTGTGCAGTCTACAAACATGTTTTCAGCAAGCTCAAGGAGAAGCAATCAGTCATCTCCGAGGAATCTTAGCAACAGCCATCCCCAGAAAAGGCTTCTGCCAGCTGGAGCCGCGATGAGTCAGCAGCGGCAGCTGTGGGAGGAGGCAAGCTCTCGCCCTGGAGCCAGCCTCCCTCTTCTCCCGGCCCGGCCCGGCCGCCCGGGTCACTGCTTTGGCACCGATGTCCCAGCACACATTCCTGGAACTGGCCAGCACAGGCAGCTAAAGGGTTTTTCCCTCCTCCTCCCTCTCCCTGTCCCTCCCCACACCCTCCCTTTTATTTTTCCTTCTCGCAGCAAAACCAAAACGCGGCATTCATGAGTTCAGGAGCTGCAGCCAAATGGCAGGCGCTGGCAGCAGAGGGATTGGGACACAGGAGCTGCCCAGGCCCAAGCAGGCAGGGGGGACAAGGGTACCTCCTGTCTGGCAGCAGAGAGGACCCTGCTAGGGACTGCTGAGCTCTGCTTAAGTCCTATGGGACGAAAGTGTCATTGCCTGGGGCTCCAGGGAATGGGAGGCCAAGGTGATGGCTCCCAGGGAAACAGGCTGTGTCTGCCTCTGCCCCAAGAGCAGAACCTGAGGTTGCTAACACAGGGCACGGGGCGGGAGGGTGGCCAGAGGAACGGAGAGGTTCAGTTATGGGTCATGGCTCTTTTGCTCTCTTCGTGTGTGTTCGTTGCATCTTCACAGTAACCGATGGAAGAGTTATCATCACCTTTTGCCGATGGGAAGATGGAGGTGTAGACGGGTAAAGGGATTTGTCCCAAGGTCACCCAAGTATCAATAATGTCGCTACGTGAAATTAAACCAGCGGGAGCCAGCTTGGGGGCTTTAAGCAGTGGGCTGCGCAGCCTTTCTTCCTGGGCTGCAGCTATACTGTGTGTGCCAGGATCGCTGCACCTACAAAAAAATAAATACAATCAAAACAAAAAAAGGCTAGTGCTGTCCCTCTCCCTCTCCCTCTCCCCTCCCAAGCAAACAGATCTGGGTGAAGAGCCATCTGCAATCTCAGCAGCGGCAGCCGCGGAGGCAGGGGCAGTCACAGCCTGGCCCAGTCCGAATTCCTGGCCTCTTTACTGGAGGCAGGAAATGAATAAAAGCTAAATGAGTTTGAAAATGCCAGGAGGCAGTGTTTATCCCCCCCTCCCCCTCCCCCTCCCCCTGGCAAGGACCGTGTATAGTTACAGTTTAATCTTGGAAATGCCAGACAGCTGTTCTCCGTTGCTAAGAGACTAGCCCACATTATGCAGATGTCAGGGACCTCAAATGTCTGCCGGAAATTACAGATCATGTCGGAGGAGCAGAGGGGCCTTCTCTCTACTGGGGAAGCGCAGCGGGAGACCCCCCGGGGGTGGGGATGGCAGAAATAAGGGGCCCATCCCTTCCCGGTCTCCCCCTCTGAGACCTACATCCTTTGCTGTGCCAGCTCAGCGTCCTGGCTCCCTCCTTCCTACTCAGTTCCCACCCCACATCCGGGCCTTCTTCCTTTGACAACAGTGCTGGCGCCCATCTCCACCTTCCCCCTCCAGTTTTCCTTCGGGGACATCTTTCTTCAGTCCAGTGTCCCTCTGTCTGTCTTGCAGTCTTTCCCACCTCTGTGATGCCACGATGCCACTGAGCTGGCGGGGACTGAGCTGGGAGGAGGGTGGGATCCCACTCCCTGAGCCCTGGTCACCTGGGGCTGAAAATGGACACACACACAGACACACACACACACACACACACTCACACACCCTCCCAGAAACCCAAGCACAGCTGTTGTCAAGGCAACTGCAGGCTACCGGAGCTGCTGAATCCCCAGTCCCCTGGGAAGGAGAGCTGCCATCTGGGGGCTGGAGGGAGGAGGGGAAGCCCTTTCCAAACCTCTGCTCTAACAAGGACCCCGATTAAAGGTGATAGGGAACCCACCAGGACCCTGGAGCGGGCAGGGAGCAGGCCCAGCTCCTCAGTCAGGCTGGAGAGGGGTATGGAGAGGCTGCCAGGGAGCAAAGGCATCCACAAGGTCTGCGGGATGACCCCCAGAGTGTCGTGGGTGTGGGAGGTGGGCTGGGGCCTGGGTGCAGAGTAGGTGCTGAGTGCCTGTTCTTTCCCTGAGAGCCCACAAGGTGCCCGAGGGCAGAAACTTAATCTCACTGCCCATGCACCCAAGTGACATCCACTCTCCCGGATGCCAGCTGTGTGACCTTGGCTTCCTCCAGCCGTGTTAAAATAAAGCCAGGAGTACTTTGTGTGCCATGGAAGGTGGCTGTGCAGATAAGAATGGTGCGTGCATGTGTGCGTGTGCGTGCGTATGCGTGCGTGTGCGCGCGTGTGTGTATCTGTGTGTGTTTACACCCATGTAGGGAAGCAATTTAGAGAAAGGTTCACAGACGCCCCCAGAGAGCAGGGCGGTGTTACCGCCCCTCTGGCCTTCCCTGGAGAAGCTGCCGAGGCTGGCAGAAAGGGAACACTATTTACCCGGCTCCCTTTCCACGTGCCCAGATCTTCCTCCCTCCAGTCTCAAAGAAAGCCTCACTGACTTTGTGTCTTGGCTTCTCTGGTCAGCTCCCCACCTGGTACATTTCCACAACAACAGTGATGTCAGATGAAGAAATTGAGGCGCAGACTTCTGAGACCTGCCCAAACCATCACAGACCATTAGCTCTCCACGGCCCCTCAGAGCTGCCCACCCCCTGCCTGTGCTCTCCAGCCCCAGTCCCCACCCTGGGTTTAAACCCCAGGAGGGCCATGACCTCTGTCCACACCAGGTAGATTCCCAGCCTCTTCTCGCATTAGCTGTGTGAGCTGGGCAAAGAATCTTAGCTCTGCTTCCCCTTCTGGAAAATGGAAACAATAATAGTGTGGACCTCTTAGGGTTGCTGTGAGGATGGAATGAGATAGAACATATACCCCTCTTCGTTCCTGCTAAGCTCTCAATACCTTTTAGTTCTTAAAGTGGAGCCTACTGCTGGGCACTGCCTCCTTAGAAAGGTGCCAGGCTTGGGCAGTGAGAGGAGGGGGAATTCCTTGGCTTGCATGCCTGCCTGCTCTCCCTCAGCACAACGACTGGTTTCCGCCTCTTTGGAAGGTTCTAGAAGGGCTGTCCAGGACAGTGCGCCTGGGAGAACTCTGAGGGCAGGCACCAGCCACAAAGACCGGCGGGGGGGTTGGCGGGGCGGTCAGAGAAAACGCTACGGCAGAGAAGGGGTAGATGGTGGCGGATGGAGTCCCCTCCCCTGTGGAACTGCCCAGCCAGAAAGGCAGGCAGGAGCGACCTGAGGCTGAGTCATGGCTGGCTCCCAGTTCACGCAGCCACGCACGGCCCTCCGAGGCCTCGCCGGGCGGGAGGGAGGGCTGCAGCTGCTCCATCTCTCTTTGTTCCTCCGCCTCTCTCCTGGCTTCTCCCCATGCTTTCATTCCCTTTCTCCCCGCGCGCTCTCTCCCTCATTCACTCCCTCGCCCTCCTCCTCTTTCTCTCATTCTTCCACCGACCTCAGTTTCCTCCCCCCTTTCATCCTTCCCTTGAAGCTGATTTCTTGCTTTCTCATCCTTTCTTCTTCCTCGGAGCTCAGAATCACACTTGGCAGCCCTCCCCTCCCACCGCCCTCCCCTCCTGCTCGTCCCTCCCTCCTCCCTCTCCTCCAGCAGTCTCTT